GATAGATAGGCATCTACCAAGCAGTGTGTGAAGTTGTGTCCAAATGTAGACCCTTTTCTGTTGAACAGGCTACCTTAAGGGAGTACTTCCCATTTTTTGTCCTCTCAAAAGATCAGAGTTTAGGCAAATTTTTAAAAATCTGAAACTTTAAAATAATTGTTGGTTTCACAAGATGGTCCCAAAGGCAAAGAAGGAAGCTCCCACCCCTCCCAAAGCAAAGGCATTGAAGGCCAAGAAGGCAGTGCTAAAAAGCAACCACAGCCACACAAAAAAGGATACTCATACATCACCCACATTTTGGCAGCTGATGGCTCTGTGGCTCCTCTGTGGGCAGCCCACATATCCCAGGAAGGGCATCCCCAGGAGAAACAAGCTTGGCCACTGTGCATCATCAAGCTCTCCCTGATCACGGAGTCTACCATGAAGAAGAGAGAATGACACCGGAAAAGTGGTGCCCCAGCCAGCTCAGCCCAGCAGGGCTGGGGGACCTGCCACCTCTGTCTTGGCAGCAGCAGCCGGCAAAGGAACCGGCAGGCTGGAGCAAGCAGGGGAGCTTCCCTCCCCCACCAGAGGCTCCAGTAGAGCGGTGCTAGAGGACCTGCTGGCTCTGCCTCAGCAGCAGCTGGCACAGAAACTGGCAGACTGGAGCCAAAGGGGGAGCTTTCCTCTCCTACCTGAGGCTCCAGTAACAAAAAAGACCAGGAAGATCAGGGGAAAATGCTGGCTATTCCTCCAGTGCATCCCTGATTGGTCCATTTTCAATTCTGCTCCTGACTGGTCTATTTTATAGACCAATCAGCTAAGCTCTCAGCTCATTGGGCAACTGCCCCAATATAAACCCCTGAGCAGAGAGCCTAGGGGCAGATCACAGATCGTCTAGCAAGATAGAGCAGAAGAGCAAAACTTCAGCAGATCATCACAGACCTCTGAGAGAGAGCAGAAGAGGAAGAGCTGTAACACTTATACCCTGCTCTGCAAGGAGGTTTGGCTCTTTACAAGAGCTGTGACACTTACATCCTGCCCTACAAGGAGGTTTGGCTCTTTGTAAGAGCTGTGACACTTATATAAGACTTATCCTGTTCTGCAAGGTTTGGCTCTTTGTAAGAGCTGTAATAATACCTCTGTAAATAAAACCTAACTTACTGTCCATGCTGTGGTCCATCGATTCATTCATCGAATCAGCGAGACCAAGAGCCTAGAAATCCAAAGTCAACAATCCGATATCAAGAAGACAATACACTTGTGTTCATTGTGGATGTCAAACCAACAAGCACTAGATCAAACAGGCTGTGAAGAAGCTCTGTGACACTGATGTGGCCAAGGTGAGCACCTGGATCAGGCCTGATGGAGAGAAGAAGGTATATGTTCCACTGGCTGCTGATTATGATGCTTTGGATGTTGCCCATCAAATTGGGATCATCTAAACCAAGTTGAAATCTGGGCTCGGTGTTTCACACCTGGAATCCTAGCACTCTGGAGGGTGGATTGCCTAAGCTCATGGGTTAGAGACCAGCCTGAGCCACAGCAAGACCCTGCCTCTAAAAAAAAAAAAAGCCAGGGATTGTGGTGGGTGCCCGTAGTCCCAGCTACTTGGGAGATTGAGGCAAGAGAATCTCTTAAGCCCAAGAGGTCTATTTCGCTGTGAGCTGTGATGCCATGCCCCTCTACCGAGGGTGAAAAAGTGAGAATGTGTCTCAAAAAAGAAAAATAAAGCATGGCGCCTGTGGCTCAA